AGGTTGTTAAGATTAAAGTGACTGTGGAAATTCGGTGTATTATAAAGTTGTATCGAGAAAGAATAAACTAGTTTTAATTAAGAAAGGAGTTGTATCTCTGAAGTTTCTCGGAAAGAATTTATACCGGAAATATGTAAAAATAAATAAATCGTAGAAAATAAGAGTGTAATATAATTCAAACTATGTTCGAAAAACAAAAATTAATTGGGATATAGATTAAACGTTTATCACAGGCTTTAAATAACAATTTTGATATTAATCAAATAGGCCATAAAAGGAGTTTAATTCTGATATTCATTTTAGTATTCCTCTGAAGCAAAACTCAAGAAGCAGTGGAGTCATTAAAGACGTCAATTTTTTTATTTTTTTTTTTGCATCGGCAATAATTAACTAGGTATACACTTTGTACTTTATAAATGTACTACAGGTGATCAGAAAGAATATACTATGTTTCAATAGAAGACAAAGTGTTTATTAGCACATTACTTTCTATGTTCATTGTGGTCATAATATTACATTTTCTGATGGAAGATATGGTGCTTGGACTTTATAAATGTACTACAGGTGATCAGAAAGAATATACTATGTTTCAATAGAAGACAAAGTGTTTATTAGCACATTACTTTCTAGGTTCATTATGGTCATAATATTACATTTTCTGATGGAAGATATGGTGCTTGGAGGAACATTTCTAACTGTATTCATTATGATCAGAATGTCATATGTTCTGTTGGAAGACTTCTGTTTACTAAAGCTCAACAATATTGTGATTATAATTGTTCATGTTATGGTAGTAGATAAATCTATTAAAGAACTTAAGCTGGATGTTTTGGTTTTTACGCATTTCAGTTAGTGAATGTATAGAGTGAACAGATGCTTAAACATTCTGTTTCTTAACTAATCTCAAAAACCGTTCAAGTTTCTTGAGACGTAATTCTATACTTTTACCTTTATTGTATGTATGCCTATTTTAAAGGCTTAGTCTTTTGTGAAATAATTTAACATTCCAACAACATTAAGGGAAATTTGCAGGTAGTGAACGAAACATGTGATTATGATTATCAGCGATTTTGTGCCAAGAATTCGAGATGAGAGCTCATGCGGAAGAAGGAAATTACAAACATATTTTTCAACTCGTTCTACGTTAAATGAAATGGCAGGTATTTGGTTTAATGTCTATACTTCATTATCAATCTGATTGAGGTTGAATACCGTGATAAGAACCTATTTCACTTGTACTTCCTACTATTCAGCCTCGGGCTATCATTTATGTGTTTTGGACCATAAGCAACATTTAGCGATCATGCGTACTACTTGTCTTCAGTACGTCTTTGTGTGTCGCCGTTAAACTTGCTCAGTGGAAAATCTTAGATTATTCAAGGTACTGGTAAACTCCTTCAACTATCTTCCCGAAGTGGTAACTGCACTGGTTCATACAAGCATTTGGCCTAGTGGTTAGGCTTGTGGATCGGAAGATCCCAGGTTCGTTCCGCTTTGAGCTAAAAAACAAAAATTGGTTTGGCGTGGCCTAGCGTTTAACGTGCTCGGGCTGTGAATCCGAGGGTTCATGGTTTGTGTACTGTTGCCGAAAAAACGCACTCTGCTTTTGGGCCCATGGATGCGTTATAAGAATGACAGTCAAATCCCACTGTTCGGCTAGATAAGAGTTTGTGGTGGGCGCTGTTAACTGCCTATCTTCTCTCTAGTCTATCGGCTCAAAATTAGGGACGGCTTTGCGCTAATAGCTTTTGTGTAGCTTTGTGCGAAAGATCTAAAATACAACAAAATGCAATTTATCAGAAATGGGTAGATAACATGTAAAAGTTGGGATTTAAAGTGTTTACCTAGGCACATCCTCCGCTCTTTAAGCTGTTGTTGCGTTATAAGAGTAACAGACAGTCCCGACGGGTACCACAGATTGGATGCTTCCTTCCCCCCTGGTCAATGGTTCAAAATTAAGAACCACGTGGATCTGTGACTTGAACGTTTAAACCATGTGTAACATAAGGTGCCGTTCTGATTGAAAATCTCAAATGTACGGTGCTAACTAGCAACCAGTAAAATATGTTGATATTTAGTGAAGTGAAACAACTAAAACTATCATGTAAAACCTTAAAAACCTGTCTGAAAAGAGCTACCTTCAGAAGCATTGAAATCGATAATACTTTTCTTAAATTAGTGCAAAAACACATGATATACAGAAATGAGATGTAAACGATTCTCTGTAGGCCGAGAACAATATTATTAATAATAATAAGAAGAAATATTTATTGTTACATCAGTGAATTCTAACAGTTGAAACCAGACTTTCTCATTTAATGTATAATACTTGGAGACGACTTGAATGGGTAATGAAGAAAAACTTTAATATAAGTTTAACATAACAGCAAATGTACAACGTTTCGACAAGGTTTTGTCATCATTACCCATTAAAGTCGTCTCCAAGCATTATTAATCTCAAAGTGGGTTCCTCGTCATAGAATTTCATTTAATGTATGTTTTCGTCGATTTGTAAGTACGTTATCTAAAACAATACTTACACATTATGAATTGATTTAAGTTAACCATTTTTAACATGTTTCTAAATCGGTCAATTTGTAGTAGATCTTGGACTTGAGCAGGAACTAAACATTGCAGGAATACAATTGTAGAACTGTATAAACTGAATATTAGTCTCGTATTCCATTACAGTGTGGGAACTTCGCGGTGCATTTAGTATAAATTAACAGTGAATAAGGCTTAAGTTTGGATGTGGTTTCTTGATGTGAGAATCGTGCTCTTCCCCATCAGTGCGTGAGTGGTTCTTTCCCATGCCTGAGAGGTGAGCTTTGCATTAAAGATTTCTATCTCACTGGGTAAGTCCATAACATTGAATAAAGTGTAGAAATTGTTACGTAAGAAATGCCAAGTGTACTTAAATAAATGACTTGGCAGCGCCGAAGTTGAAAAAACAACAACTATTTTTATTGTTATTTTTTGGTGTGTAAAAATGTACGGCAAGAGCAGTAAAGGGAACCCTAGTCCAGTGGACTGGTGTGCAGGATAAGCAGTAAGTCCATGTTTTTGTTTGTTGTTCCAAGGGCACAGGAGAGTACGGACAACCGGGCTCCCCCATTTCCCTTACACCGGTTCTCGTTGAAACTCAAATCCAGCGGTTAGCGGAGGCAGCAGAGATGCTGATCAAGACGCTGCCACCTTTAGAACCTAAACCTCAAAATAACAAGAAGAAGATCAGTAAAGAATTAGAGGTAGGCAATATTGTCTTTAGTAAGGACTGGGGGAACATTCCCCCCGTGACCTAAACCTCAAAATAACAAGAAGAAGATTTGTAAAGAATTAGAGGTAGGCAACATTCTGTTTAAACCAAAATTAACAACATCTAAACAAGGGAGGTAGGGGGTGTACGGTTGTGCCTCCTTCTTACCGGCAAGTCCCTAGATAAAAGGTAAGTCATTTTGGTACAGAAAAAAAGAAGAAAATACACAAAGCTAATCTTGGTTGGTAAGTACGTCCGATTCAGATGGAATTATATGTGTAGATGAGGTATGATGTTGTTATATCCCCTCTACTGGTTAGAATCTGTCAAATAATTAATATTTGTTTTAAATGTTGAAAACCTTGTCTTTAATTATTTGTACAATTATAGTAAAGTTGGGTATGATTCATCCCGCCATCACATAGTATTCGTGACAGTTTGAACCCAAGAGCAATTGTTTGTGATAACGACTTTCGTAAGGTTTGTTGAAGCAAGTTAGAAAGCAAACAGTAGTATAGTTTCCTTTGTGTTATTTCACAACATTCAGAGGCGTTAATAATAGCAGACAAGAGTTACTTCTAACTTTATAACTGATTAATAAACCTTCGTAGAAAAGTAATTAATTTCTATTGCTAATCGCTGTTGCAGTTTGAAAAAGAAAGAAAGGTGAGTTATGTGGGTCCCCTATTGACTAATTATCAAAGTGGTGTAAAGATAAGGTGGGTTAATTCGGTTATTACTGTTACATACATATACATAAACACACACAAAACATGGAGATTATCAAGAAAACTATTGTTCGCTATTGCATATAAGTTGTTTCATCGTTTTGATTTAAAAAAACCCGGATAACTTAAAGTTAAATTTTGTGAACGTTTCTTTCACTAATTTAAATCATTGCGTTAGTGCAACGAAGAAAGGCCTAACTATAGAGTACAGTGATGTTAGTAGCTGTAAATAATCAAGTAATATTTAATTAGTGTGGGTCCTGCTGATTTCAACTGCTTAGCATTAGGTAAACAGATTTGTGCTTAGGTGAGTATGAATTATATTTTGTACGTGTGTTGTATTTCTACAAAGAATTTAGGCGTAACCATCTCCGACCTCCCTTACCCATCTACCTAATCAGTTACTCGCACACTTTGCTGTTTAAAAATCTTGTTGAATATATATATATATATATTACTAGTCTTGGTTCCGCTTAACTATGGTTTATATTGAACGACAAACTCTAGCAAATATCAATTCATATTTCTCAGCTTTGGCACTGAAATTGAGTCATTTACCATGTATAAGTCAGGATGTTTTAATAATTAAAATATAATTTAGAGAAGAAAATGAGTTAGTGATTTACCATGTATAAGTGAGGAACTTAGCATGATGTTCAAATTATTAAAATATCAATTAGGGAAGAAAACGAGTTACCGATTACCATGTGTAAGTGAGGAACTTGGCATGACGTTTCAGTAATTAAATTACCATTTAGGGAAGAAAATGAGGAAATCGTGGTAGCTCTTGTATGTCCACTAGCAACATCTGTCTCCAACTGTCAATCATCTTATGTCATGCTGAACTTTGGTTTGTTTGAAGTTAAGCACAAAGCTACACAATAGGCTATCTGTGCTCTGCCCACCACAGGTATCGAAACCCGGTTTCTAGCGTTGTAAGTCCGCAGACATACCGCTGTGCTACTGGGGGGGCATGCTGAACTATTCTTCTGGTTGCGGATATATGAAGTAGCATATTAGTCTAAGCTAAGTGATGTGGTTAGATCAGTATATCTAATATTAACATATGTGTGGAAGACACGACTCTAAATCACGTGCTGATAAAAGCATCAGAAAACAAGGGTAGATGGTCAGGAGAGAGAGAGTAGCAGAATTTGTAATATTAATGATATCTGGCAGATTTAATCTGCAGCTTGGAACCATGTCCTTAAGATATAAACTACACTGGCATACCTTAAAATCTAGAAAGTTACCAATTTGGGAAGATGTTTTCTAGCTTAATTACATGTTAGATCAACCGAGTCAAAGGGTTTGGATCAGCCAAGTCAGGGGTATAGATCAACCGGGTCAAGGGTTATTATTCCTGGTTTCAATGTGAAACGAGGGATAAAAAGATCTCTTAGTGTGTTGCAATGAAGAGAATTTACAGTGCTTATAAAGTGTGTGAAAAACTCTGTGGGACTTTCGGAATCTTGCTAATTAAAAGGTCTTTGTGGATTAGGAAAATCAGTTGCCCTGAGATTTAACTACAAAAGAAACAGTTTACCTTTAGAAAGATGAGATTAAATCATTTAATTCTTTAACTACGAAGAACATCTTGTTCTGGCAGAAGTATCTTACTACAGACAACAGTGAGTTACTCTGTTGATATGAAACCAACTACGACACAATATTTTGAAAATGTGAAATCTTCTTGAGAATAATATCGGATTGTGCTTGCCTTTCATGCGGACAACAATCTCAATATTTCTGTTTTTGTTGTTTTTTGAAGAAAATAAATCTCAGTTACTTCGCGGTATATTTCATTCAGTCAGTTATCAAATATTTTTATGTGGGCTATTTCTTACCAAAAGACTTACCGATTTCTTCCTAAACAATGTAAAAACAATAAGTAATGTGTGTGTATTTGTTAAGATTTGTGGATAATTTTCTTTCTGCTTGTCTTTCGTGTAGTTTTGAGATAATCCCGCAAGATCTTCCTTGTAAACAGACAAGATTTTGACGAATGGCAGCATGTCTTTTCGGAATGTTGAGTGAAAACAAATATTTTATGTAAAGTTGTGAAGAATTCCCTCTTAGTCTAGTGTAAGAATTTTTAAAAGTTTTTGTTTTATTTTGTTACTGTATACAGTAGATAGTTTCAGGTATTCTAAGCCATAGTCTGCTGTAAACCACTAGATTTTTTTTTTCACATTGGAGTAAAAAGCACTTTCTTGGTGTAAGCTAGTTGTTGATCACTATCTGTAGTAAGCCGTTCCCCGGGGTAACAGCGGTAAGTCTATGGACTTACAACGCTAACCAAATCCGGGGTTCGATTCCCCGCGGTGGACACAGCAGATAGCCCAAT